CCATTTGGAAAGCCAACCCTCACTTCCTGTGCTGTGCCATGGGACAGGAAGTGGTGAACCGCAATAAAAATGGACAGAAATTAATTCAGAAGTAATGTTTTGACTCCAAGTTCACTTGGAGAGTTTTCATTTTGGATAGAGAAGGGAGTTTACCCCCTGTCACCCTTTTTTTATAATTTTGTTTTCTTATTTGCAATTTGTGTTTTTTTTGTTTTTTATTAGGAAGATTTCCTTTTAACTTCCTCTCTTTTAGACTGAACAGGAAGTGACAGGATATCTCTCAAATCTGAGTTTAATCCCCTCTTAGTTGTCACAGCAACAAGTGTCCCTGCTGTAAGATTTCTTCTCTAATCCTGTAAAGGTGGCAACTTGAAATTTTGGATTGATCTACCCCTTTTTATTCCGGGTGACACTGGTGATCAGGGCAATTGGAGAAGGTGAATCTCCTTAACGGGGACCCAGACGGCTATATAAAAACCTGACAACAGTTCTGCCCCCTCACCACTCTATCCAAATCTAAAAATGAAGTTGTGACGTTGGTTATATCTTAATGTAGACGCGATCTGTATGACAGATCCTAAACTCTGCCGGGCCCGCACTCCTGGTGAGTCCTAAATACAGCAATGCAGTATCCCCATATGCTCAGAGCACAATGCCTGTTGGTGCCACAGAAGCAGAGGCGGTGGGGGGGATAATATGTGGTGATATCATTCTGCAATGTCCCATGATCCTCCTTATCACGTAGTTCTCATTAATTGTTCTTCTGACACCTGTGCATTTCAGATATGTAATCGTCTAATGAAGGCGTCTTATCCCGCTGGTCAGGCGCCAGCGTACAACACAGATTACCGAGCCACTCTTGTACTTCGCCCAGGAGCAGATGAAGAGGAAAACCGAAAACAAGTGGGTGAAAGTGTTGATGACTAATTATTTCTATTAATTACTGTGCTGCGGGATCGTCCCTTCATTAGTAGGAATAGGCCCTGTGATCCACCCTCTGTGATGACCTCATTGTTCATTGAAGCTGAATTCTAGTTTCATTAGACTTTGATATAAGCAAAGACAATTGCTACCCAAGCTACTTTGTAAGTGATTGAATTTGAGCCCCAGCCTTCTGTCACTGTTAGAAATTAGCTACAATGGGGATGTTGGATGACCGGTGACCCAGGAAGGAGCAGGCAAGGCAGCCAGGCTTACATACAAGATATTAGGGACATACTAGAAATTCTGCATTCCAATAAAGGGTTGATCAGTGCAAATTAAAGGAGAACTACCGCCCCCTCCCCCGCCCGTTCCGCCAGTCAGCGCTGGTGGATCAGGGGGGGGAATCCCTGCAGAGAGCCGTGAGTGACAGTCACGGCTCTCTGCAGGGAGATGATCGAGAAGTGAGTGAGCGGTATGCGTTCGCTCACTTCCCGATCTGTGCACACGTCGTCTCGAACTATGACGAGGAGTGAAAATCACTCGCCTCATAGTTCTCCTTAAGGACCATATTTGTTAAAGGGTAGAACTGACTTTTATAGCACTGATTTATAATGTTGGCTCAGCCTTCATGCTACTAGCAGACCACATCATATATGTTTTTCATTTTGCCTGCAGTTATTTTAAAACTGACATTTCCATTTCGGTGTGCGCCAAGACATGATGATGACCAAAAAAGTTCCAATTTGTTTTCCTTGCAACCAAGGCAGCTGTCATCAATAAACCATAAGGTATACCCCAGAATCCTCATCCCCAGGTCTTGAAAGTCTGTAAGTGGCTCACCACCTCTTGCTGCTCAGAGCTCAAGGTCCAATTACAGTCAGCCTGCGTCATGAAATATGGCATCTCCTGACTTGGGGAAAAAAAACTTTACAAAAATCTCATTAAAACTTGTTTAATTGGAGCACAAGACTGGTGGTCACGAAGTGCTCACGTGTTTGTCATTAATGTGCCTAGCTGGGAGTGTAATGTGTGCCCCGTGTGTTAGTCACCCTGTGTTGTTGTAGATAAAAGTAATAAAAATATAAGAGGTGTGTAATTATTCTCAGAATGTTCTAAAATAATGGTATTGGTGACTTCTAGATATTATCCGTAGATTTTAGCCAGAGGCTAAAGGTTTCCGCAGGTCATGAGCAATCCTTGTTCCAGACATTTTATAATACTAATACCTCTAAATTCACCTTGTATGATGTACTGGCAGATTAATCGCATTACTACCGCACCATTTGTTTAAAAAAAGAAGCAATTTTCTGGTGTACTATTTTAAAATGATGCTGCAGAAAACACACACAGGCAGCTGGCATGCCAATGGATGGAGCTGTCATTAGACATCACAGATGACAAGCACAGAGCTAATCAGAGCAGCTTTGTGCCTTGCAATCATTGTAATGGTCATAAAAAAATTCAAATAGAGAGTCACTCGCACTCCAGAACGATGCCAAGTCAATCTCTTTATTGACTATGGTAGTGTGACTTTCTATTTGAATTATTGTGTGGTCTGCGGAGGCATCTGCTGTCACTGACACACCCACCCTGCTTTTGGGTCTGTTTCCGGTCAGGAGTGCGATGGAACATACTCTGTCTTAAGTCATTGTGATGGTCAATCACAGCGATCACAAATGTAAACAAGCCCTTCCCTTTCACCTCTGCCCCTGATTGCTATTCTCCTGTAACACTCCACCAGCTAAAGGTGGGCACTCTGAGCAGCAAATAAGTATATTGACCATAAAAGGGCACACTGACCATCGGCAGTTATGGAGCACTCCCCGCCAACCACTCTAAGGAGGTGCTAACTCCGAACCACTCGGCGGACTCTATGATCTGAATAGATCACCTGTATTAAACGAGCAGCGGCTCCCACTGTACATTTTAGCAGAAAACTACAAATTGTACAGAAAACTACGCGCCTGAAACTGCATGTTCCGGGCGTCGGGCAATAAGGATTCGCTCCATAAGACGCACACACGTTTTCCCCCGTCTTTCGGGGGGGAAAAGTGCGTCTTTTGGAGCGAAAAATACGATATATATATATATATATAATTATTTTATTTTTTTTAATTGTTTAGCTAAATTATATATATATATACACATACATACATACATACATACATACATACACTGGTTATTTAAAAAACACCAAACGAAAGCTCCGCCTGTCTGAAAAAAGATATAAAATTAATTTGGGTTTACGCTTTGCATGACCGAGTAATTGGCAGTCAAACTATGACGGCATTGAAGAATGGTTATATACAGGCTAGAACTCGAGTGGTTAAAGGGTGACTTTCGCAATGATCCACCTATATACACATTGTAAAGGTTGAATAAACCTTGTGGGATCCCAATAATTACACACAAAAGTGTTTTGTATTAAACACTTGCACGGGGATTGTATTTGGCCATAGTGGAGGTAATTATATGTGGGTGGTACAGTATAATCCTAGTAATTATACAGCTTGCAGTGACAACACGTGCCCTTTGGGTATTGGTGACCAGTGCCGTGTTTGTTTCTGTTGTGTCTGCGTTAGGTGTGAAGCTTGTCACCTTTTGCTTGATGGATTAAAAAAAAAATAAACTCTTGCCTAAAGTAAATGCTTTTCTACAGTTTCAGATCCATTGATCTTTAAATTTAACCCATTAGGCATTTTATCTCAGAGCGTTCCTGAAGCTAAGAGTGCAAATCTTCAGATTTTGAATGACTTGCATTAGTCTACGTAGTCCGAGCTCTATGTTATACTTAATTTTGTATGAATGATGTTAGGTCTGTGTAATCTTGCATCCCTTAAAGAGGACCAGTACTGTGGAAGCTGAGTCCATCAAAAGCAGGCAGAAGAAAATGTCTGGTCACCAGTATTGCCTGTGGTCTCCCCGCAGTGGATATTTTACCAGTTAATGACCTGCCATATCATTATCCGTAAGATGTCTCTGTGTGAAGGCAGCCATCTTGGTAGCGGCAAGGCTTTGCTTTTTCATATTAGAACCTCCCCTGCTGCTAATGAAGTGGCAGGGAAGATGTGGAAAGCACATACTCGCTGAATGCATGAAGCAGGGAGATCTTGCACTACTGGTCCTCAACTTCCTCTCCAGCAAGGAGAACAGGGAGCAGCACAATAGTGACCTCTCCAAATCTCCCTCCTAAATCTGGTGGATCTAGTGATAGGTGATATAGTCCTCCATTTGTTGTAGCGAAAAGATGTAATTATGTTTTAATAGAAACTGAAAAAATCTCATAACTTCAATGCAAGTACATCGCAACAGAGTGCTGCTGGACAGTGTGGACAATATTGTGAACAGAGGTAATGTTATCAGGGGGGCCCAAGATGACGGGTATCCTGAAATGTCACGTAACTGTTCCAATGAAGAAGCATTGGTCCCTTTTAATGTGTAGAATGTCAGTTACTAGGGATGCACTGATACTAGTATCGATACCGAGTATTTGGATGAGTACTCGCCAAAATGCTCCGATACCTAGCACGAGTACTTCCTGTGTCAGAAAGCCGGGCAGCGCATCATTACACGCTGCCCGGTTTCCTGATTGGCCAGGAAACGGCTCCATGCTCTTTCGTCACTTGTGATGAGAGAGCATGGAGCCGACTTCCCAGCCAATCAGGAAGCCAGGTAGCGTGCAATGACGCGCTTACCGATTGGTCAGGAAGCTAGCAAATCCGGAAGCCAGGTGCCGTGTAATGACGCAGCACCCGGCATTCTGATTGGCCAGGAAGCTGGCGTCATGCTCCCTCGTCATCTCATGATCATAATATTAAGAAAGTGACCTTAAAGCATTAGTTTGTATTGCTTTAGAAAAAATGTGACCTGTCCCTTTAAGAAAAAGTATCGGTAATTGGTATCTGCGAGTACTTAATCAAAAGTATCGGTACTCGGTCTTAAAGTGGTATCGGTGCATCCCTATGAGTTACCCCATCACACTGAACTTCTATATTCATACATTACCACAAAGTAATATATTACATAGATGGCACCACGGCAGGTGATAATAGCATAAAATCTGTGTTTCTATAATTTTATGTTCCAGGTATGTGGTACTGTAATCAATTATACTGTATTGATGTTGGCCTGCAGCAGCTTATGACACCAACTAGCCCTTTAATTGGGCTCCTTCCATTGTACTTTACATTATATATTTTTGGGGGTACAACTCTATGTTTCAAGTCTGTGATCTCATTTGTATCCGCATGTAACATTTTGTTGTCTGTGACATGTTGTAGAAATTCTTGTGTATTATAGAGACAAAACCAGTTCTTGATGTACAGGCGGCTTTTCATGGACATCGAGAGAGAACAAGTGAAGGAAATGCGAAGGCAAAAGGAACACAACCGGAAAATATTCAAGTAAGGATGATGGAACACTATACCGTGCAATGTCTCCTAACATTCTCCTCTCACTGATCAGAATCTGAAAATGTCACCGTGTGTAAAGCAGAAATGGGACAGATTATACTAGGAGATCACAGCTTATAACTGGTGACATGGCCACTGATCTTACCTTGATTTCTGTCCAGGCGTGGTGACCTCAACAAGCGCGGCATACAGAGCTACTGGATGGAGGATCATGGATCCAGAATAAGGCTCTGAGCTCCCCCTACATTTCTATTGACTTAATAGCCAAGATTTTGGGGTTTATAGGGGGAATAACAAGCTTTCCTTCTGTTCTGTTCTTATTTCAGAATGAAACAAGAGCGAGAAACTGAGCGACTGCTAGAGGAGGAGAGACTCCGCACCGCAGCTCAGCCCAGCCTGGAAAATCTGACCTTTGAGGTGGAGTTAATGAAGGAGCAAGAGAGGAACATGGAACATCGGGAGAGGGCACAGAAAACCAGAGAGTATAACCGGTATATAGCCTATCCCTGTTCAATATCATTGGGCAAGGGGGGCGGGAGGGGGAGTTTCTAAGAAAAGGTGTGCATTATCCATCAAATCAATCACATGGCAGCATTCAGGGTGCCTGCAGTTGGACTTTAAACTTACAGGTTTTTATGACATGACCCTGTATACCCCTCATGACATCATCTGATATGGGCCATCTTATTCTCCAATAATGTTGTCATTACTTATACATATTTTTTTCTTTTGGTAATATTCTCTTGCAACAATTTTATTCTTTTATAATTTGTTTAGTGTTGGTTTACAAAAAAATAGTATATATATATATATATATACACTGAGTGGCCAGATTATTATGACCACCTGACGTTTGTAGACAAATGAGCTATAATTTGGTGCTGAAGCTGCTAGAGGGCCAGACCATTATAAATAGGGAAGCAGGTTGGTTACCACGACAGTAGAAGTGATTTGTTTCTGAAGATTCGGGGAAACAACGCGATGTAACAGCCTTTGAACGCGGGATGATTGTTGGCGCTCGGAGCCATGGACGAGTATCAGCAAAACAGCAGAATTCGTTAAATGTTCAAGAGCAGCTGTTGTTAAAGTGTTTAAAGACCGGACTGTCAGCCGAAAATCTGGGTCTGAACGTGCGAATTGTGTCCGTCAGCGATTAGTCAATGTTAGGGCAGAACGGGGGAGGGGCAAGACTAGTACAAGACAACAGAAGGGCAACAGCACAGTGTCAGATTCCTCGCATCACCTTTCATCATCTCGTGGAGTCACCAGGCGGCCCAACCAAGTACTGATGGGGGGGTCATAATAATCTGGCCACTCAGTGTGTGTATACATACATACATACATACATACATACATACATACATACATACACACACACACACACACACACACACACACACACACACACACTATCGGTGTGTGTGGATGAGGTAAGTGTGCACAGTTGTAATAGAGTCGCCTTTATCAGTGTCAGTTGATTGTTAGTATCCATTTTCCAGCTTCGTTGAGGCTCTGCGGGCTCAGATGAAGGACAAGATGTTGCTGCACAATGTGGAATTGCCACCGTTGTGTTGCTGCGGTTCAGATTTCTGGGATGCCCATCCGGACACATGCGCCAATAACTGTATTTTCTACAGGAACCCAAAAGGTACGGTACACGGATTATGTAAGGGGCCCTGCACTTAACAAGCAGTTAAAGTCATCCCTCTGTCCACTTTGCTCTCCCTCTATCCGCATAGTCCTGGTCAGCACATTTGATTGTAGGACATCTTATTTGGCTCCTAATTCTGCCCCTTCTTCTGTCAGTCTGAGCTGTACAGGGACTGCAAGTGGCCAATACCAAGTCAAATTCGGGTTTTTAGAAAATATAACTTCCACATTGTAGGTTTATTCTAATCGTGGCCGTGTCAATGTGTTGCTGATCATTGTAGTGGGAGTCCTGCCACTCTCACTGGCTAACCTGAATGACAGGCCAGCACACTCCTGGTCTTGTCACATCCACCATCACATCATAGCTTGACTTAGACCAGGAATCTCCTGGCATATATCACACCAATTCATGCCTGCTAGAATGTATCTGCCCATATGTACACCTATTAAATACTACAATTAGCATTAAATGATGGGAGTTGTAGTCTGAAACAGCAGTGAGGAATGCTAACAGGAAGTGACATCAAGTGCTTCGTCCATCTCTTCTCATAGTGCTTGGGCATAAATGCTTTTTGCTGTATACAGCAATGAGGTCACAGACTTTTAAAAGGGGAATTTAGAAGAAGAAAAAAATTTTTAGTCTAGCAAAGAACAAGAAATATTGTTGAGATTTTTAAACTATCCCGAAGTGTGTCTGATATCTGCCCGGAGTTCAGCTTTAATATTCAGAAACAGTAGAAGCTCAGCCAATATATTTCCCTAATGAGCAGAGGAAAATCTGTGTATCAAATCAACACAATTGACTGCCCCCCATGAACATATATAATTACCCCAATTGACTGCCCCCAATGAACATGTATAATTACCCCAATTGACTGCCCCCAATGAACATGTATAATTGCCCCAATTGACTGCCCCCAATGAACATATATAATTACCCCAATTGACTGCCCCCCATGAACATATATAATTACCCCAATTGGCTGCCCCATGAGCATATATTAATACCCCAATTGACTGCCCCCCATGAACCCATATAATTACAAAGTTGTTTATAATTCTTGTTAAACTGTATAAAAATCGATTCTCCTTTTAAGCAGCTTCAGTGACCTTTTAATATTGATTTCTGACAGCGTACACCCGGGCCTTGCAGTCGGTGCTCTCGTCACGTGACACGTGGGATGGGGGCGCGAGCTCCAGGTTTCGGATTTTGTAACATCAGCATTGGGTGACCTTGACCCTCCTGACTAATGGAGAACCCTGCAGAGGGGACTGGGAGATGAAGCGTTGGGCGACCTGGAACCTCAGACCAATGGGGAACCCTGCCGAGTGACTGAGAGACGAGTGTCTGTGTGTAATAATTTATTTTCTGAGTGATTTAATTTTTCATATTCTGATTTCCTCCATCTACAGCACCGCAAGAGCCCCATATACCAAACTATTGTAGTGTGGTCATAGGTGGGCAGATCTCTGGCTTTACGTTTGTCTCACCAGAGAGGGAACTGCCAGTGCAGTATATGTCAGGACATTTCCAGTGATGTCACATTTGGACGGAGGTCAGATGGAAGACTGAAGGGGAGGACGGAGGTCAGATGGAAGACTGAAGGGGAGGACGGAGGTCAGATGGAAGACTGAAGGGGAGGACGGAGGTCAGATGGAAGACTGAAGGGGAGGACGGAGGTCAGATGGAAGACTGAAGGGGAGGACGGAGGTCAGATGGAAGACTGAAGGGGAGGACGGAGGTCAGATAGAAGACTGAAGGGGAGGACGGAGGTCAGATAGAAGACTGAAGGGGAGGACGGAGGTCAGATGGAAGACTGAAGGGGAGGACGGAGGTCAGATGGAAGACTGAAGGGGAGGACGGAGGTCAAAGGTCAGATAGAAGACTGGAGCCATTCAAATCCTTGCTTTATGTTCTTATGTGGCCAACTGCACATCCAGCACAATGAACCTCGGTACTGCTCTATGGTTATCCCCTGTAAACGTACCAATTGTGGGTGTTCGTGTCTTTGGGATCCTGTTGCTATCACACAGACCGGTGCTATGTAGTGAAGACCCGCACCTCTACTTCTGAGTAGACGAAACCAACTTTATTGTTCCAACACACTAGAGAATACTGCACCCAACCCAGCACCTCTCCCGACACTTGGTGCCCCCTACTGGGGCTTAATCGTTCAGCTCTGTTATTAAGCCCCAGTAGGGAGCAAAACACAATGGTGGGCACAGTGTTCTCACTTGTGCTGGAACAAAGTTTGGTTTTAGTTTCACGGAAGTAGCGATAGGTGGCTTTGTTACATTGCACTGCACATCCAGAATGGCTGGTTTATTGGACTGAGGCAGCCTAATATTAAGAGTCCTTTATTGCAAACTGCTGACAGCTGTTTCGGGCTTGTTGACCATCATCAATGCAGTGTATGGAACCCGCGGTGTAAATGGATTTGGCTCATTTGACTTGTCCTGCCACTGACGGCACAGGAACACGGGGTTTGATGTGAAAATTGACATACGTTGCAGCATTTCAGCACTTTTGTTGCTTTTTAGAGCATTTCAGGTAAAGTCGGGTTCTCCCAAAAAATGGCTGGACTCGTCTTTTATTGTTTATAGCAGAATGGAGTTTACTTTCAGGGGAGACTCTTCTAGCTGATGGATCTCTGTGACTGAGGAGGTGCACTCGGCACACACGCTATCTGCACATTTATTGCGTTCCATTTATTTCACATTAACATTCTTCTTTATCAGCCTCTGGCAGGACCTATTGATGGGCGGGGCCAGATTTGATTGGTATGTAATATAACATGTCACAATTGTCACTAGGTTTTATCCCATTATATGGGTCATCGCCGATTAGCCAACTCTTAGGGCACGTCCATAAAATACTTTTCTCAGGTTGACTTCCATGAGGGACAAAGCTAAAGGTGACTGCCAGGGAAATAGCCCAGGATAGGGATGTGTTGGGTTTTAGGGTTGAAGCATACAGGTGAAACTCGAATAATTAGAATATTGTGCAAAAGTAATTGCAGTAATTGCTGCAAAAGGGGCCCAAACCAAGTACTGAGTACATATGCATGCTTGTACTTCTCAGAGGTCCGATATTGTTCTATATACAATCCTTGTTTTATTGATTGCATGTAATAATCTACTTTTTTGAGGTTGTGGATTTGGGGTTCTTGGGGTTTTCATGAGCTGTAAGCCATAATCATCACAATGATGACAAATCACGGCTTGAACTATCTTGCTTTGCATGTAATGAGTCTCTCTCATATATTAGTTTCACCTTTTAAGTTGCATTAGTGAAATAAATGAACTTTGCACGATATTCTAATTATTCGAGTTTCACCTGTAGAAACACAGAATGGAACAAGAGTCCGAGATAATTTTACAACTCCCTCCCCCTATTCCCCCTTCATCAGGGTTCAGTAAAACTTGAATGGACCTCCATTGCAGATCAGCAGCTGTTATACAATTGCTTCTCGAGTAGAGTGTAATCCCGGCCCTGGTACCGATCTGTGTGGTCACTGTTGTACATTCAGGTTTCCTAACATCTTCAGGTGAGCAGTTAATGCAACAAAGAGGTCTGTGATGTTCTCTCCTTTCATTCTCAAACCGTTCTCAGAAGAATTTCATGTTTATGTGAAATGGAAAAGATTTTGTTATACTTTTTGTTTTGTATATAATTACACTTTTGAATGCGGAAATACAATTTTTTGTCACAAGCTGTTTATCCTGTTTTCAGTATGTTTTTTCTTTGTGGAATATGAAACTCCTGTGACATGAGCAGTTTTGGACCCTTCCCAGGGAGACCTGTAATCCTTACTCTTGTATTGGATGGATCCTTACCAGTGGGTCAAATGCTCCTTACCCCCTTACTAGATGGACCCTTCGCAGGGAGCCAAGTGTTCCTTATCCCTGTATTGGATGGATCCATACCAGTGGGTCAGATGCTCCTTACTAGATGGACCCTTCCCAGAGACCCAAGTGTTCCTTATCCCTGTATTGAATGGATCCATACCAGTCAGCGCGGTCCGCCTCCGTGGTTGCTGGGCCCCGCCTCCTCTTCTGTCACCAGGCCCTGTTTTCTCCTCCTATCGGTGGGCCCCACCTCCTCTTACATCACTGGCCCCTCCTGCTCTTAGGTCGCCGGGCCCCGCCTCCCCCTTCACTGCAAACGCCGGGTCCAGCCCCTTCTGCAGCAGCTGCCGGCTGTCACTGACACAACTCAGCGGCGGATGTGAACAACCTGTCAGTGATGTGTGCAGCGGCGCGTTCCTCTTGACAGCCAGCACCCTGATATGCCATAGCGACCCAGGCGGCCCGCACGGCATCAGAGGAATGCCCTGGCCGGGCCCCATATCGGCCGCCTGGGTCGCTATGGCGCTTTTTACCCCACTGACCACAACTGATAACACGGGAACACCTTGTGCTCCATCTATACCTGGAGGAGACAAATTCCTTCATCACTCTGGTCCAAACCTCAGTGCAAAATCTTCATATTAGCTTCCCATGCCCTGGCATTTTCAGAACACTACGGAAAAGTACAGCAAGAGTTCATGTCGCACGGACGGGGCTGCACTTTTATTTTGCAGTTGTTATCGCGCAATTAAAAAGTGATTTGCCTGCAGGCACGGTGTCCTGAACGCAGCAATAAACAGGGCTGATTTGTTTTTATCAATTTAATAAAATGTTATGAGTATATCTTAATTATTATATTGGTTTCAGTGTGAGGACTTCCTTTTCCTGGGCCAAACCTTAAATGCCCGTTTCTTAATCTGATTATGGCTGCCACATGACATAGTATACGGATCATATACAGTTTATATACATATGTATTGATGTGCGTTTTCACACGCTGATTTGCTGAGCATTTGTCTTATTTTCACAGCAGGAGCTTCTAGTCCTAGCTTCACCCAGTGCGAGTTCCAAGGTTAGTACACTTGCATGGGCTGTGCCCATTATGAAGGTCTCTCACCATCACTACACTGAGTTTCCACTTACTGTGCCCATTATGAGGGGCTCCCACCATCCCTGTGCTGAGTTCCCAGGTCTGTACACCTGCTGTGCCCATTATGAGGAGCTCCCACCATCCCTGAGCTGAGTTCCCGGGTCTGTACCCCCGCTGTGCCCATTATGAGGAGCTCCCACCATCCCTGTGCTGAGTTCCCGGGTCTGTACACCCGCTGTGCCCATTATGAGGAGCTCCCACCATCCCTGTGCTGAGTTCCCAGGTCTGTACACCTGCTGTGCCCATTATGAGGGGCCCCCACCATCCCTGTGCTGAGTTCCTGGGTCTGTACCCCCGCTGTGCCCATTATGAGGAGCTCCCACCATCCCTGTGCTGAGTTCCCGGGTCTGTACACCCGCTGTGCCCATTATGAGGAGCTCCCACCATCGCTGTGCTGAGTGCCCGGGTCTGTACACCCGCTGTGCCCATTATGAGGGGCTCCGACCATCCCTGTGCTGAGTTCCCAGGTCTGTACCCCCGCTGTGCCCATTATGAGGAGCTCCCACCATCCCTGTGCTGAGTTCCCAGGTCTGTACACCTGCTGTGCCCATTATGAGGGGCTCCCGCCATCCCTGTGCTGAGTTCCCGGGTCTGTACACCTGCTGTGCCCATTATGAGGGGCCCCCACCATCCCTGTGCTGAGTTCCCGGGTCTGTACCCCCGCTGTGCCCATTATGAGGAGCTCCCACCATCCCTGTGCTGAGTTCCCAGGTCTGTACACCTGCTGTGCCCATTATGAGGGGCTCCCGCCATCCCTGTGCTGAGTTCCCGGGTCTGTACACCTGCTGTGCCCATTATGAGGGGCCCCCACCATCCCTGTGCTGAGTGCCCGGGTCTGTACCCCCGCTGTGCCCATTATGAGGAGCTCCCACCATCCCTGTGCTGAGTTCCCAGGTCTGTACACCTGCTGTGCCCATTATGAGGGGCTCACACCATCACTGTGCTGAGTTCCCGGGTCTGTACACCCGCTGTGCCCATTATGAGGAGCTCCCACCATCCCTGTGCTGAGTTCCCGGGTCTGTACACCCGCTGTGCCAATTATGAGGGGCCCCCACCATCCCTGTGCTGAGTTCCCGGGTCTGTACACCCGCTGTGCCCATTATGAGGGGTTCCCACCATCCCTGTGCTGTGTTCCCGGGTCTGTACACCTGCTGTGCCTATTATGTGGGGCTCCCACCATCACCTTTTAGGATGTTTATTAAACCCGTAGGAGGAGAGTCGGGAATTCACTCAGTGTTTGAGCATCCAAGACATACAGTATGTGAAGGCAAGGTCTGACCTATACATAAACTATAACTTTTGGGTGGACTGTTCCTTCAACCCCCCCAAAAAATGATATCTTTAACTGAGAACTAAACCATTACAGATTACTTATCTGTGAATAACGGAGCTCGATCGCTGGGCTGGCAGAGGGAACGTGATTTTGTATTTGTCCCGGGAGGTCTCAGTGGTTCCGGACTCGGAGGACTCTATGTTTTTAGGAAGTAGTGAATACATACATATTATTTGATGACTTTGTAATGAGCATAATGGGTACCGGGAGTAACCCCAGATCATTTTTAGAAAAGAACTCCGGCCATTTTAAAAATGAGCCATTGCAGTATGGCTTCCCCCACGTCGCAAGGTTTAAGGGGGTCTTTATGGTCTTAAATAAAGAAGATACACTCACCTGATTCTCAGTCCCCCCTCTGCTCCGGCTGTGAAATGTCCCTCTGCATCCTCACGTCAAATGCAAGTCAATGAACTTGTATGAGATGTGATGATGTCATGGGTCCATAGATCGCCGGAGCCCGGGGGAGAAGACTCTGCAGGAACCGAGTGTATCTTTTTTTATTTTAGACCCTAGACCAAAATGAGCACTAAGTGTGGTATAGCCCCACTGCAAGGGTTCATTTTTATAATGCCCGGAGTTCCTCCTCAGGAGAGAACTATGGGGTCAGTGTTTTTCCCCATAGTTCTCTTTAGGGTAACGGGAGGACATATACTAGCGTCCTCCCGTCACCCTAAGCTCAGTATATAGCCGGCTATTGCCCGCAATATACTGAGAGCGCCGCAGCCGGGACAGATCCCGGCTATACTGTCGAGATCCATGCAGCTTCGTGAGTGACAGCTGGCTCTGCCTATCTAGAGACAGAGCCAGCTGTACCCGCCCCCTCTGCCGTCCGTTCCACCACTCAGCGCTAGAAGATTGGAAAGGGGAGGGGGGAATCCCTGTGGGGAGTGATGACTGACAGTCACTGCGCTCTGCAGGGAGATGATCGGAAAGTGAGCGGATCGGCTGCATGTTTCTGCTCACTTCCCGATCTATTGAGCCGACGCGTGACAGCTTCTTTGTCACAGGTCGGCTCTAACTATGAGGATGAGTGGAAATCTTTACCTCAGAGTTCTCCTTTAAGGACGGTGTCTAATGCATATGTATATACACTAAGGGGTGCGGTACCTTTGCCTATTAGTGCTGTCCAATAATGCAAACAAAAATGTTTGCTATACAG